CAACACCCTCTTCTGAACTCTGCAGGCATTCTTATACACAAAGTGTACACACAGAAAGATACAAGGGCATACACATTATCTTTTTTTAATTAAAAAAAAATCAAAAAACCTAAACATCAATAAAGAGACAACCTAATTTTACAAATGGGCAAAAGAAGAAAGACGAATGCCATGTGCAAAGATGTCCCATATCACCAGGTATCGTGGCTCACAACTATAATTCCAGGACTGGGGAGGCAGAGGGAGGTGGATCTCTGTATGTCCTAGGCCAATCTGGTCTACATACAGAGTTCCAGGTAAGCCAGGGCTCCACAGTAAGACACTATTTCCAAAAGAAAATATCGGGGCTGGAGAGATGGCTCAACGGTTAAAAGCACTGACTGCTCTTGCAGAGGACCCTGATTTAATTCCCAGCACCCACATGGCGGCTACTATGAACCATCCTTAACTCCAGTTCCAGAGGAATCCAATTCCCCCTTCTGACTTCCATAGCATTGCATAACATGGGTGCACTCACATACATACAGGCAACACACTCATACACATAAAATAAAAAATAAATAAAATATTTAAAAAAAAGATGTTCAACATCAATAGTTATTAGGGAACTGCAAATTAAAATCACAATCAGATACCACAACTATTAGGATGGCTACAATCCAATTTTCAGAGTAACGGGTACTGTCACAGAGGTAGAGAAATTGGAACAGTTGAGACTGCTTGTATGAATGGAAATGATAGCTACTGTGACTGCAGTTTGATAATGCATCAAAATGTTAAACATAGGGCTGTAGAGATGGCTCAGTGGTAAAGAACACTTGTAGCTCTTGCCCAGCACTCACATGATGCTTCACAATCTACTGTGACTCCAGTTCCACAGGATCTGACCTTTTGACTTCCTCAGGCACTAGGTACATATATGGTACACCTACATACATGCAGACAAACATTCATACACATAAAATTTTTTATTAAAAAATATATATTATGCTGGGTGTATGGTGGTGCACGCCCCCAGTGCAACAACAACAACATATATATATATACACACACACACACACACATATATACACACACCATAAAACTGTCACAGGAGAATGCAATTCTATTCCTAGGTTATATACTGAAAATTGAAAAAAAACTTCCCGGTGCTCAAAAACAATATTCCAAAGTATGGTCATTTATAAAAAAGTTTTTATTTTTATTTTATGTGTATTCGTGTATTGCCTACATGTAAGTAAATGCACCCATGTTTGTTGTGCAATGCCCGTGGAGGTCAGAAGAGACTGTCAGATCCCCTGACACTGGAGTTACGGACAGCTGTTAGCTGCCATGTGGGTGCTAGTATTCGAACCTGGGTCTTCTGCAAGAACAACCAGTGTTCTTAACCGCTGAGCCATCTCTCCAGCCCCAAATATGGTCATTTATATCAAATGGCTGGGTACTTTGAACTTCAAAAAGTAGGCTCTGAATCTTGGTCTTTCTGACCTCTGGTGACTGTCTACCTTGTGTACTTTATTTTATTAATTTTGTATTTTAGGTGTATGAGTGTTTTGCTGCATGTAGGTAAGTGCACCATGTGTCATGCAATGCCTGCAGAGACCAAAAGAGGGCATCAGATACCCTGGAACTAGAGTTAGGAATGGCTGTTAGCTGCTATGTGGATACTGTGAATTTAATCTGTGTTCTCTGCAAGAATAGCAGCCAGTGCTTTTTTGTTTTTTGGTCTTTTTGAAACAGGATCTCCCTGTAGTCCCAGCTGACCTAGAACTCATTATGTAGACCAGGCTGGCCTTGAACTCACAGAGATATGCCTGACTTGGCCTCCCAAGTGCTGGGATTAAAGGCATGTGCCACTATGCCTGGCATAAGAATAGCCAGTGCTCTTAACCACTGTGATATTTCTTCAGTTCTTGTGTACTGTTCTCAGCAGTAGGTTTCATCTGGCCCAGGACATGAATCATCCTTTTGTTATGCTGTTATACCCGACCCACCCACAAGTGACTTGGTTAACATCTTGGTTATCAGATGATTTGTCAGAGTTATCATAACCTTTGTGTTCAAATAATGATTAACTTACAGAATAACGGTACCAAAGCACAAGACTCATAATGTTGGCAATTCTGACACACCAAGATAAGCCGTAGTGTTTGCTTTAAGTAAAAAATGTAACAAGGGCCAAGGAGATGGTTCAGTGGCTAAAGTGCTTGCCACACAAGCAAATGTGAGGGTTGAGTTTGGATCTCCAGAAAATCCATGTAAATGCTGGGTGGGCTTGGTGGCCTACCTCTAATACCAGTCCTGAAAGGAGGAGAAAAGGGATCACCAGAGCAAGCTGGTTAGAAAGACTAGTCATATCAGTGAGCTTCAGATGTGACTGAAAGACCATGCCTCAATGAATGAGGTAGAAAAGTTTATCTACGATGATTTCCGGTATCATGGAAATCATGTACCATGTCAATACACATGTACCACACAAACACACAAAATGGAAGGAAAAAAAAGTGACAATAAAAATTCTCAGTCCAGGAGTGGTGGTGCATGCCTTTAATCCCAATGCCTGGGAGGCAGAGGCAGGTGGGTCTCTGAAATATAGCCAACCTAGTCTACATACCAAGCTCCAGGCTACCTAGGGCTACAGGGAGACCCTGTCTCAAAAAAGGGAAGAAAACTTTCAGGTTGGGGGCTGGACAGATGGTTCAGCAGTTAAGAGTGTTTAAGCTTACTACTCTAGTAGATGACCCAGGTTCTATTCTCAGCACTCACACCACACAATTTATAATCTCCTGTAACTCCAGTTCCAGGGAATCTGACACCTTCTGGCCACTATGGACACCTGTATGCATATGGTGTACATAAATTCACAAAGGCACATATACATATACATAAATAGAAAATAATTTTTTTGTCTTTTTGAGACAAGGTCTCCCTGTAGCCCCAGCTGTCCTGGAACTATGTAGGCCAGGCTGGCCTCAAACTCACAAAGCTCTGCCTGCCTCTGCCTCCCAAGTGCTGGGATTAAAGGTATGCACCACCATGCCC